CATGAATGCCTAGTTTGTCTTTAGGGACTGGTTTGTCCATGTTTTTTGATTCCTCATAACATATTAGTCATGAAACAAAACAATGCCTTTATTTTTTTAAGAATTTTCTTTTTTGGTCTTTTTGAGACAGGGTCTCACTGTAGTCCCAGATGTCGTAGAACTCACTATGTAGACCAGGTTGTCTTTGAACTCAGAGAGATCCGCCTGCCTCTGCCTCCAAAGTGCTGGGATTAAATGTGTGCACCACCACGCCTGGCTCTATTTTTTAAAGATTTTTCAGTTTGTGTGTGTGTGTGTGTGTGTGTGTGTGTGTGTGTGTGTAAGTACCCACAGAGTTCAGAAGAGGGTGTCAGGTCTCCTGGAGTTAGCACTACAAGCAGTTGAGAGCTGCCTGACATGGGTACTCGGAACTGAATCTGGGTCCTCTGCAAGAACAGTATATTCTATTAACTGCTGAATGCCTTTTATTTCTGCTTGCTAGATGGTAGTTTTCTAATTGAGGCTGCCCAATACCTGTAGAGCTGTGTTTGCTTTCATGCCTCTCCTCGAAATTTGAATTCAGAAAGTGAAGTAAAGTCACTTTGTTTTTGTTTCAAATTTTCGTTTTTTTTTTTTTTTTAAATAAACACAATTCTAGTTGAGTACCACTACCAGCTTACATTTTAGTTGGTATTACACATACATAGTCCATATAAAATGGGATGTAAATTTGATTCATTTTGTGGCCTTATAAAAAGGAACCTAAAAGTTAGCTAGAAGGAAATCCTGATCATAATTTAGATTTAAAGAGGAACTAGTTTAAACTCTTCCCTTTTATAGATGAAAAAGCCAACCCACAAAGGAGAGGCAGAGGAATTTGCCAGAATTGATAGCAGAAGTAAACAGTAGATCCAAGACTCAGACTTGAACACTTTCTACACTAGTATTTTGGAACTAATACCGCCTCCAGAAATGCTTCAAAGCTGCTTAGTGGTCTAGAGGTTGCCTGGAACATCTCAGAATTTACTAAGGCTTTGCAAAGTCAGAGTACTTAATAAAAGCAATAAGGCAGCAAATAGGAATTCTTCATTATTTGAAGTTTCTAGGCAGAGGTTATTACTTACATTATAGTTAGGAATTATAGAAATTACTCAATGCTTTTGTGAGTTCTTAGTAAATATGCTAACTTATGCAAGACATACCTAGATTTGATACTGAAGATTGTTGAAACCAAGAAATTGATTTGTCTTATCTTTTTTTTGTTGTTGTTGTTCTTTTTGAGACCAGGTCTCCCTGTAGCCCCAGCTGTCCTGGAACTCACTGTGTAGACCAGGCTGGCCTTGAACACACAGAGATCCACCTGCCTCTGCCTCCCAAGTGCTGGGATTAAAGGCATGAGCCACCATGCCGATTTGTCTTATCTTTAGCTAAGTAGATCTGACTGTTAGCTTTACCTAACTAGACTCAGAATTTAGTCAGCTAAAGGAATAATATATTTATTAATTATGATTAGCTTTGAAAATTTTTTAAAATGAGATGTGTAATAGTAGTTTGGTTAGTATAAGAAAAATCTAGAAATGGGACTAGAGCTATCACTAGCTCAGTGCTAATGTGTTTGCCTAACATGCATAATGTCTAAAATCCAATCCTAACACCTCAAAAAACAAACAAAACAAACTTAGAAGCAAAGTCCAGGTTCAGTGTACTTCTTCCACTGGCATCAGAGACTCGGACTCTTCTCTTGCTTGCTGTATATCCATTGTTGTTGCTCCAGTACATCCTGAAGGTCCCTCATGATTCTGGATGGCTTCTGGAGCTCCATAAGTTATCATCACTTGAATCAGCTTCCTTGAAAGAACTTTCCTAGAACTACCCTACCCCATGATTTCTGCTTCCAACTCACTGGTAATTCCTATAGTCAGACTAACTGTACAGATTGCTTTTTGGAACAATTAGAAATTCAGGGGCCCAGAGTGATAGCACACGCCTTTAATCCCAGGGCTCAGGCTGATTTCTATGAGATCCAGACCAGCCTGGTCTACCTAATGAGTTTCAGGCCAGCTGGGGCTACAGAGAGACCCTGTCTCAAAAAACCTAGAAAAAGAAAAGAGTAGAAAAAAAAATTGTGGAGACTGGGGAGATGAAATAACTTGGTTAGTAAAGTATTTACTGTACTGTATGAGTATGAGAACCTCAGTTTGACGCCCCCCCCCCCAGCACCTGTATAAAATGTCAGGTACAGTGGTGCACACTTGTATTGGGGAGGCAAAGACAGGAGCATCCTTGAGGCTCACTGGCTAGCCAGTGTGCCTGATTGGAAGGCTCCAAGTCCCTGAGAAACAGCATGGAAAATTGACTCTTGCAGAGCTCTACACATGTACACAAAAATGTACATGCACCTGCACACACTTTTGTGTTGTATACCCATAAACACCCATACACCCAAACAAGTTCTGTTAGTAAATAAGGAGAAAAGGACAATGAATATTGGCCAGACAGCTAACAGCCTCTGCCACAACTAGCTTTTAAGAATGCAATATTTATAGCTGAGCATGGTGGCACATGCCTTTAATCCTAGCACTTGAGAGGCAGAGGTAGGCGGATCTCTGTGAGTTCGAGGCCAGCTTGGTCTCCATAGGGAATCCAGGCCAGCTTGGACTACAGGGAGACCTTGTCTCAAAAAGACCAAAAAAAGAAAAAAAGAAAAAAAGAAAACAAGATTGTAATATTTATATTAGGAAAATAAAATTTTAGAGGCATCACCAACATTGAGAAATAATGTGGACTAGAGAGATGGCTCAGCACTTAAGAGCATTGGTTGCTCTTGCAAAAGACCCAAGTTCAGTTCCCAGCACCCACATGGCAGCTAACAACTGTCTTTAACTCCAGTTCCAGGGGATATGATACCCTCTTCTGGCCTCTGAGAGCATTGCATGAAATGGGTGCACTTACATACCCGCAGGCAAAACACTCCTACACGTGAAATAAAATAAGTACAATTTGAAAAAAAAAATACTGAATGTAAATTTAAGATTCCCAGACTTGAGTTGGAGAGATGGCTCAGTGGTTAAGAGTACTTGTTGCTCTTCTAGAGGACCTGAGTTCAGTTCCCATCAACCATGTCAGGTGGCTCACAACTGCCTGTAACCCAAGTTCCTGGGGTATCTGCCGCCTCTGGCCTCCATAGGCATCTTCACTCATTTGTACACATGCTCATACATACATACTCATACACAATTAAAATTTTTAAAAATTGAAAAATTAAAGATATTCCATGTATCATGTGTTTGATAAGTAAAAGTAATTATCCTTTTGGTAAATATTCTATGTTGGATTTTTCAGTAGGACTCATTGGAAACAACTGTTATGCTTTGTATGTTTTAAATAAGCTGAAAGATGACTTCAAAACAACAGGAGAAAAAAAAAACTTCACCAGATTAAATTTTGTTTCTGTTTGGAGACAGAATAAAAATAACTCCAGAATTAGTGGGAACAAAGTACATTCTGGCAGATATCTAGCAGATAATATATTCTAGGAATGAACATATTGAAATACTCAAGTTGTTTAGTATCTAAAGGAACAAGATAGATTAATGCTGTACATGAAATAATTAAATATGCATAACTCATAGTAATGACTCACAGTAACTCCAAATACACAGTTAGGCAGAAGCAGTATTAGTTGTATATTGTCTCTGCCTATGTTTTATCCAAATAAAAAATGTAGAATGGGGGTCGAAGAGATGGCTCTGCAATTAAGAACAATTTCTGTTCTTTCAGAGGACCTAAGTTCAGCTCCACTACCATGTCTGGTGGCTCACAAGCTCCTGTAACTGCAGCTCCAGGGAATCCAGTGCCTTCTTCTGCCCTCTGAGGACACTTGCACATATGGCATACATTCACACAAATGCATACACACAAATAAAAATAAAAATAATTTTAAAAATAAAAATAAATGGAAAGACGGAAGAAAGAGGTTTTATTGTCTTAAACTTGGAAGGAAAGGTAATAGTAGTTGACAAAGTAGTTAACTGTAGACCATGATATACTTAAATATGTGGGATGGAAATGTTTCTGCTAGATGAGATGAGATTTTTTTTTTTTTGTCTTTTTGAGACAGGGTCTCCCTGTAGCCCCAGCTGTCCTGGAACTTATGTAGACCAGTCTGGCCTTGAACTCATAGAGATCCGCCTGCCTCTGCCTCCTAAGATGAGATAATTTTTAAATGTTCTGTAGCTTCTTAAGAATCCATGGTTCTCATGGTGTCACTTAATAAACATTTACTGAGTACCTCATTTATAATTCACTTTAAGGGTGAATTCTGTCACAAATTGCCATTTAGGTGAGAAAGCCCAGGTTTTCAGCTTCATGTTTGGGAAGCTTAGTTTCTCCTTTTCTTTCATGATTACTTATCGGCAACCAAATGCTAAGTGTCTGTTGACTTCTAGCTGATAGAAAACAAAGCTCTTCAGAGACTCCCTATGAGAAGAGAGACAGTTGTGCTGGCCTAGGGCCAGGCTGTATCTCTTAGACCTCACCCCTTCAGTGAATTCTCCAGGGGGCAGCAGTTACAAATAGCTCCTTGTGCCTTTGGCAGTGAGCATAGGGAGTGCTAATGAAACCAGCTAATGTAAGGAGGTCTGTTAGCCTGGCTTTTGAGCTCAGTGAGGCTTCCTTTGAACCTTTTATGAGATTGCACTTTAAGGCATCTTTTCAGAAGATACACTCCCATCCAATAATGGATCAGGGACCATTTTCTTTTATATAGTAGTGGAAATGCCTTCGGCACTCTGGTATTAAATAACTGCTTATTTGAACATATTGTGCAATGACAGCCTTTTCCATCCATAAATAGTTCCCATTGAAGCTGTTGTGCACAGTTTAACTTTTCCAGGAGGGACTGTGAAAGGAAATTGAAATCTCACAGACTGCATTTTATATCGTAGTCATTGCTAATGCAATTGCCTCTGTTTTGGTTTTTGTGTCTCCTACTCTGTACTCCATTTCCCCTCTGCTTTCAGGTGAAGGCCTCCCACAGGTGTATTACTTTGGGCCATGTGGGAAGTACAATGCCATGGTGCTGGAGCTCCTTGGCCCTAGCTTGGAGGACCTGTTTGACCTCTGTGACCGAACGTTTACTTTGAAGACTGTGTTAATGATAGCCATCCAGTTGGTAAGTTGGTGTGCTATTCCAGAAGATAGGTAGGTCCCTCACCCATCTCCTTGTGGGCCTTTTGATGACTTATTAGCCTTAGTGACACCTGGTGAATTAATTTTTACTGGTTTAATGGCCTTCTAGGTGAGTCTGGCAAACTTTTCTGAAAGGAGCTGGTTTCCTGAGCTGGTTTCCCAGTTGGCCACAAAGCCCTTGGCTAGCCCAGAGCATGTAGTATGCCAGAGAACTAAGGCAAGTTCTTGGTCACACAACTTTTAGGGTTCCCAAAGTGTAACTCAGAGAAGTCGCACTGCATCTGCATTTACTCTGTTTTAAGACTTTGCACCTTGGAGCAAAATCCTTCACTAAACTGAAGTCAAAACATAAAATTTACATCAGAGAGAAAGAGCATGAATAGTTGGAGTTGTACAAATTCAAGTAATTCTTCATCATTTTATTTATAGGTTTTGGGCACATAGCTATAAGGTTTTCTCATGCCCTCCTCTTGGTATTAAAAATTAGAAAATTCCCTATGTTAATCCTCATTCAAAAGTCATATGACCAGGAATTTGCCTTAGTTCTCCAGCATATTGTATATTTTGGGCTGGCCAGGAGACTTTGTAGTTATGCACTAATACCAGCTTAAGCTCTTAGGCCAGTTTTTGGTTTTAGAGTTTGTCAGGCCCTCAGGAAAAATAATTCAAATGTATTTTTTTATTTTTATATTTTGAGATGGTATTTTACCATAGCTCAAACTGGCTTTGAATTCAACATCTTCCTGCCTCAACCTCCTGAGTGATCAGATGGGCATGGACAACCACAGTTAGCCTTCAGATACGTCTATTCATTTTGAAGTAGTAATGGTCTCACCATCATCCAGTAACAGTTTGGAAGTATTTGAAAATTAACTTTGAGTCTAAATTCCAAATATTTAAGATATTTAAGCTTTTCTTTCTATACTAAGAAAAGCTTTGTAGGTAGAAACATTTAATGAAGTTTGATGTAATGTTACCATTCCTATTTTGGTTGTCATTACTATAGAGTAAAAATTGCAGTCCTGCTTCTGCCAACTAGCTGTCAGATGTCAGGCTAACATTGACTTCAGTGAGCCTCAGTTTTCTTATTTCTGCAACACTGAGAGCAGGGTTGTAGAGTCTTGTTCAACTGAGGATAGGAAAGTGTGGGCAAGAGGTGAAGTGGCAGTGGCACCTGTCTCAGAGACACCGATGTCTGATACCTTACTTGGCAACACTACTTTTCTCTCAATTATGAAGTGGCTTAAAATCAACCAGTCCTAGAGCATGAGAGATAATTCGACAGATAAGAGTGCATACTGCCAGGTGTTGTGTCGCACGCATTTAGTCCCAGCACTTGGGAGCAGGCGGATCTCTGTGAGTTCGATGCTTACCTGTCTACAATATTGCGTTCCAGGCTAGCTGGGGCTACAGGGAGACCCTGTCTCAAAAAGACCAAAAAGTACATACTATTATGTCCTGCTCTTGCAGAAGGCCAGAGTTCAGTTCCTAGCACTGGAGTCAGGTGGCTCACAACTGCCTGTATATAAATCAGGCAATTCAGTAAAGTGGGTGATAACTAAGAGAAGTTTTTATTTTAGTAACCACAACCTTTTGCTAGACAGGCACACTAGTACATCTATAGTGCCAGCTACTTGGGAGACTGAGGTAGGAGGATTACTTAAGTCCAAGAGTTCAAGGCTAGCCTAGGCAGCATAGTGATACTAAAAACAAAAATTAGGGGGATAAAAACTAATAAAAGAAATATTTTGGGACTGATGAGATGGCAAAATGGATAAAGGCACTTGCTGCCAAGCCCTATAACTTGAGTTCAGTCCTAGGGTCTACATGGTAAAAAGAGAGAACCAACTCCTACAAGTCATCATCTAGCCTTTACACACATACATCTATAAGTGTATGCATGTACACACCCAACACACACATAGACAAACATATACATAAATAATAAATACAGTGAAAAAAGAAGTATTTTTATTTTTCCCCAGCATACTTCAAGTTATTTCCACCATTTTTCCCTTTCTTTTAGCTTTCTCGAATGGAATATGTACACTCAAAGAATCTCATTTACCGAGATGTCAAACCAGAGAACTTCTTGATTGGCCGACAAGGCAATAAGAAAGAACATGTAATACATATTATAGACTTTGGACTGGCCAAGGAATACATTGATCCTGAAACCAAAAAACACATACCTTACAGGGAGCACAAAAGCTTAACTGGAACTGCAAGATACATGTCTATCAACACGCATCTTGGCAAAGGTGTGTTTAAAGGGGCAGGTTATTTGAACAGCTTTCTATTCCAGTAACACTCTTATCCCTGCTGTGCATTACAGCTTGTACAAGGTAAGTGATTTTTGTACTCGAGAGAACAAATGGTAAGTTAATGATGTTCTCAAGTATCTTAGTACTTATGGACTCTTAATTCTTTCAACTATGTTTTTAGAGACTTTGTTTCTCAGCAATGTCAGAACTTGAATTACTGTAACAGTCTGATAATATTTGAGTGGGTTTAATAATGAGACCAGTATTTACTTGTGTATTGCTCGCTACATGGACAGTCTTGAGGAAGACATCAGTCTAGTATTTATGTTAGGGACAAGGGTTTCTCTCAAACATGGATTAGGCTTGCATATCTTTTTTTTTTTTAGTGTGTATGCATGTATTGCCTGCATGTAGGTAAGTACACCCATGTCGTGCAATGCCCACGGAGGTCAGAAGAGGCTGGGACTGGAGTTATGGACAGTTGTTAGCTGCCATGTGGGTGCTGGGATTTGAACCCGGGTCTTCTGCAAGAACAACCAGTGTTCTTAACCTCTGAGCCATCTCTCCAGCCCCCTAGACTTGCATATCTTGCACAGTTATTCAAGGAAGAGCTCTGTATGAGTATGTATTTTGTTTAACTATAAATCTTATTTTTAGGGGAGGGACAAATAGCCTGCACAAATACAGCTATAAGCTCCAATCAAGACCAAACACTTGGCTTGTTAGAGAGAGTATTTGGAAGATAATACCTGTCTGAGGAACAGTAGCAAGTCCAAGTAAGGAGAGACCTGGGCCCCTTTCCAGCTTCTCAAAAAGACAAAAACAAAAAAGCTTCCCAGCCAGGCATAGTGACACGTAGATATAGTATACGAGGCTAAGGAAGAAAGATCAAGTTGAGGACAGACTTGGCTACATATCTTTTTTAAAAAGTCTTTTCTAAATAAGTTAGTTAAAACTTCCCCTTTTTATTTGTTTATGTATTGGGCTTCCATGGAAGGAAGGTTTTATTTTTTGTTCTTTGTTTTGGTCTTTTTGAGACAGGATCTACCTGTAGCCCCAGCTGGCCTGGAATTCACTATGTAGACTAGGTTGTCCTCCATCTCACAGAGATCTGCCTGCCCCTCTTGGGATTAAAGGCAGGTACCACCTTGACCTGCTTTGAAGAAAGGTTTTATTTCTGGAAAAACTTCCTAGGATTGAAAAAAATACATTTGAGCTGGGTGTGGTGGCGCACGCCTTTAGTCCCAGCACTAAGGAGACAGAGGCAGGTGGATCTCTGTGAGTTCAAGGCCAACCTGGTCTACATAGCTAATTCCAGGTCAGCTGGGGCTACAGGGAGACCCTGTCTCAAAAAGACAAAAAAAAAAAAGAAAAAGAAAAAGAAATGTTTGAACACCATCATCCTATGTAAACAGTACTATTAGATTCTTTACTCTCTGGCTTAACTAAAAAGATGTAAATTGTTCTGTCTGCATCCTATTGTTTTATTTTTGATTTTTTTGTTTGGTGGTTTTTTTAATGTGTATGCATGTATTACTTTCATGTATATAAGTGCACTTGTGTTGTGCAATGCCCACGGAGGACAGAGAGGCTGTTGGATCCCCTGGGACTGGAGTTACGGACAGTTGTTAACTGCCATGTGGGTGCTGGGATCTGAACCCGGATCTTCTGCAAGAACAGTCAGTGTTCTTAACCGCTGAGCCATCTCTCCAGCCCATTTGTTGTTTTTTGACTGGGTCTCCCTAGTCCCAGCCCGCCTTGAAGCCTCGAAGTCACTGTGTGGCCCAGGTTGACCTTGACCTCACAGAGATCCACCTGCCTCTGCCTCTTTCAGGCTGGAACTAAAGGCATCTGCTTCCTATTGTTAAGGGGGTGGATATCCATTTGTATTTCTAAAAGATAAAATGTAATAGTTTAAAAAGTGGGATACAGCCAGGCATAGTGGTATATGCCTAGAGCTACAGGGAGACCCTGTCTCAAAAAAGAAAAGAAAGAGAGAGAGAAAAGATTTGTATCCCCCTTTCTCTTGTCTCTTTTGAGACAGGGTCTCACTGTAGCCACAGCTGGCCTGGATTCCCTATGGAGACCAGGCTGGCCTCTAACTCACAGAGATCTGCCTGCTTCTGCTTACTGAGTGCTGGGATTAAAGGCGTGTACCACCAAATCTTGTCTCTTAATAATTGTGTTTTTGGTCCAGTCCAGGAAACTTCCACCCAAGGCTTGTTTTCTCATTAAAAAAATAAGTATCGGCCTGGCGTGGTGGTGCACGCCTTTAATCCCAGCACTTGGGAGGCAGAGGCAGGCAGATCTCTGTGAGTTCAAAGCTGGCCTGGTCTACATAGTGAGTTTCAGGACAGCTGGGGCTACAGGGAGACCTTCTCAAAAAAAAAAAAAAAAAAAAAAAAAGGTATGATTGGGGCTGGAGAGATGGCTCAGCAGTTAGATGGAACAGCATTTGCTGTTCTTCCAGAGATCCTGAGTTTGAGTCTTAGCACCTACTTGGCTAATAACCATCCATAACTCCAGTTCTAGGGGAAACACTTATACACATAAAATAAATAATGCCAGGCTTAGTGGCACAGATCTCTTTGTGTTTGAGGCTAGCCTGGTTTACCTAGTGAGTTCCAGGCGAGCTGGGGCTACAGGGAGACCCTGTTTCAAAAAGAAAAAAAAAAATAATAATAATAAATAAACTTTGGTTGAGAACACTGACTTTTCTTGCAGAACACCCGGGTTCGAATCCAAGCACCCACATGTCAGCTAACAACTGTCCATAACTCCAGTTCCAGGGGATTGAACAGCCTCTTCTGTCTTCTTCGGGCATTGCAAGACACAGGTGGACTTAACCTACGGGGCAATACATGCATACACATAAATAAAATAAAATAAATAAGTAAATTTAAAAAAAATAGCTGGGTGTGGTGGTGCATGCCTTTAATCCCAGCACTTGAGAAGAAGAGGCAGGAGGATCTCTGTGAGTTTGAGGCCAGCCTGGCCTACAGAGTGAGTTCCAGGCGAGTTGGGACTACAGGGAGACCCTGTCTCAAAAAGACCAAAAATTAAATAAATAAATTAAAAAAAATAGGTATTATAATAGTTCTTGTAACAGCAATAATGGGATAATGTGTATAAAACATTTACCCTAAAGTTTCATCATAGTAGGATCATGCCATAAGATGGTTATCATTATTATTCAACAAGGTATATTTTGATCATCTACTCTGTATTGTACTAAAACCCTTCATGTCTTCATATGCTGCCATTCCTGATAGAACTTTTGAGTTGACCTCCAAACTTGAGTTTCCTGAGTTCCAAAATTCTTTAGTCTGTCACCATATTTTATTCCCTGCATATTACAGAGATTACTCATAGCCAGGTGTGGTGGTACACACCTTTAATCCCAACAAAGATTGGATCTCTGTGATCTTGAGGCCAGCCTGGACTACTTAGCAACTTCCAGACCATCCAGGGCTACATAGTGAGACCTTGTCTTAAAAAAAGAGGAACTCTGTCTTAGGTATCACACTAGAGAAATTTGCATAGGAGCTCTAATGTTACTGGTTTTTAAGTGTGTTCCATTTTGTAAGTTGTAATGAGGGGGAAAGACATTGGGAAATGTGTTGTCAAATGACTTGGAATTACTTTTCATCTTGTAATGGAGGGAAAGCAAGGGAAAAAGCTATCTCTGACATTTCCACATCAGATGAGCCACCTTCCCACTGATTAAGCCCTGCTGAGGCAGCTGAACTTAGATTAAAATTAGAGTGAGAACACTTGGTTACACTGCCCTTTTTCTTTCAAGAAAATACATTTAGGCTAGAATTCTGGGTGTTATACATGTAAGGCATGCACATCTTTCTTATAAGCTGAAAGTAAGCCTCTCAATACTGTAGTGTTGAAAACATTTTTGTTGTTGTTGTCTTTTTGAGGCAGGGTCTCCCTGTAGCCCCAAATGGCCTGGAACTCGCTATGTAGACCAGGCTGGCCTTGAACTCATAGAGATATGCCTGCCTCTGCCTTCTGAGTGCTGGGAAACCTTTTTTTTGAAAATGAAAATACCCTTTTTGAAAAATCAAGAGGCATGTGGAAATGGTGTGTGGGGGGGTCCAAATAAGTATAAAAATAAACACATTCTGGGTTTTGCTCTTTTTTAAGTCCTAATGTTTTATTGTTATATTAGAATTTTAGAGCTCAAAAATTATTTTTTTTCAAATTCTTTAAGTCAGCTTCTTTATTTTCATGTAGGAAACTGAGTGAGTAGGTGACTTGGTCGTACTTTAACTTCCTGGATTGAATTTACTAGAAATGGTGAGCCCAGGTCACCTAGGTCATTCACCTGACTTCGGAGCCATTATTTTTCCCGGTCCATCTTCCTCAGCTGTTTTTTATCCTTCTTGGGATTTGAAAGGCTACTTTATTTTTCTAGTGTTTGACATTTTCAAAAATCTGTGGAGAGTTTGCCTTCTACTGCTCAACTAACTGAAATTCAGCCATGCCTAGTGAAGTTTTAAAAAATATTTTATTTTTTTTATTTTATGTGTTTGAGTGTATTGCCTGCATATATGTGAGTGTACCGTGCATCAGAAGAGGGCTTCTAATTCCCCTGGAACTGGAGTTAAGGACAGTTTGTAGCCGCCATGTGGGTGCTGGGAATCGAACCTGGATCCTCTGTAAGCACTATCAGTGCTCTTAACTGCTGGGCCATCTTTCTAGCCCCGTGAAATTTTTTTTTTTTTTTTTTAATTACCAAGGGCCTCTTGTTACAGGTAGTGGGAGAGTAGGGTGACACTGTGAGAAACCAAGCCTGGGTCCTCTGCAAGAGCAGTCAGTGCTCTTAATCACTGAGCTATCTCTTCAGTCCTTCATTTGTGTTTCTTATGTTCTATTAACAGAGTTTGTGTGTAATTGTTTCTGTTTTTAATTATGTATAATATTTCATGTCAAACTTAAGACAAGCCATATAATCAAAAGTGTCAGATTATCTCCTTCCTACCTTT